ATGTCAAAAAAATATGTTTGATGAGGATAAAATTTACTCATACGGGACTATATTTTTTAGAAAAAAAATTGAAAAATAGATTAAAATTAATTTATTTTTCATTTCCGTTAGAGGAAAAGTGTATATGTGAGTCATTTGTTTATAAGTAGGGGTATATATGAGTCATTTTCATAACAAGAGATATATCATCTCTAAATGAAAAAATTGAGGGGTACATCAGACCCTTTTCCCTTTAATTAAAAATAAAAAATTTAGTTAAAGTTATGTATTAGATATTTAAAATAGTTTATCTTTACAAAATAATGTTAAAAGTATATTGATACTTTCCTTTCTTTTTTTTTTAATTTGACTCTTAAAACACTTCTAAAAAAAAGTCAAATACAAATTGCATAGCAAAAGCACTTCTGAAATGAACTTGCAAAACACAAATTGCTCTTTTTTGAAAAACACTTGTTAGACAAGCTATTTTAAAATAACACTTTCAGAAATAAGTAGTTTTTAGCTATAATGTCAAACATGCTATTATAACCATCAAATGTATTATATGTTATTACTATAGTAATATTTTTATATTTATGAACTAAGCATTTCATGTTCAACTAAAGTGGAAATCAAAGTGGAATTGACAAAAAAATATGACATACTAAGCGGCAAAATATTTATCATATGAGTGTAAACAAATTCAACAATGATGTTTCCACCTGACAAAAATTTGAAAGATTTTGATTTGTATATAAAGAATATGTGCAAAAATTACTGGAAACACTCTATTTTAATTCGAAAAATAATATTTTTATAAGAAATAACATAAAAATGTTTTATATTTAATTACTTGATGTTTTGTAATGACACTCCAACTAACTCAATGTAGCTTCCTTCTTTTTGCCGTTTAGAGTATTTCTATAGCTATCCCAAATCTTTTATGATTTGATGAGACTTTTAATGCAACCACATGATTGTTCGTTTTGTTTTATGTTAATTGCTGTGTTTTGAAGCTTCAGAAATTTGTAGGGGTGACTACAGTCAAAAGTTTAGGAAGATAGCCTCAAAATGCAACTCAGACAAATCCATCACCTCCAGAAGGATCACTTTATATACGTGGATTGGTTTTCTCGGACATAGAGGATTCCAATGTGATTTTATGTTATTAGGCATTTAAGCTGTTAAGTTTTGACCTAAGTTTGACATTGGTCAACATTCTTGGTAATTATGCTCGGATTAGAATTTTATCGATACACTTAGCTCTGATATGTCGAGTTTGGTCTAGAATAAGCCTTAATGCAGATCCCGAGGCTCCTGAGCAATTTCCAAGCCCCCACATAGATTTATGCAAAAAAAAAAGGAGTTTTGGTGTGAAACCTACTTTTAACGAAAAAACCTCGGATGAAAATTTTAGCATCTCCGTTGAGTATGGAATATCAAATTTGATAGGGTAACATATTTTATTTGTGTCTATGAGGTTCCCAATGAATCTCAAGCACCTCGTCTTGAATTTTGAACTTTCCAAAACTAGTTGATATGTATAATCTCGTGGAGGTAATATTTTGACTTCAAGTTCGCGGGCAGTGGGTCGCATTAGTAGAGAGTAGTGAGACTGCTCACCATATTAGCGTGGCTCCTCCTGCATTCGTGATATCCTGGGTTCCTAATCCTACGTGATCACTAGCCCCCCTTCTCTTTAGTCATTGCACTAATGGGTTCCTTTACGCATTAATGAAGAGAATTCTTATCGGGCCTATTCATATGTGAAGCATTAATTGGTCTGTGTAACATTTTTAGAATTAAAATAACTAGGAAGAAGCTCAAATTAGAAAATAGTCATTTTTGAAAAGAATTAAAAATCTGGAAATTTAGTTAAGTTAAGAAAAGTGAGTTTTTAGTCAACTTTAAATGATCATAACTTAAGCTCATGATAAGTTAGGTGTACTTCCATATATGATAGTAAAGCCCTTGGAATAATCTTTTCAACGCCGCCAAATTTGGGCGATTCCATGTTTCTGGGTGACTTATGCCTTTTGGAAGTTGGGTTGTTGGAATAAGGAAAGTCTAATCTGGTTTTTTAAGGGATAGATTGGTCTTTTCCTTACCCAACTTAAATAATTCATTTTTGGAAATAATTGTTTGGGCTAAACTGACTGGGTTTAGTTTACACTGTTGAAAATAGAGTAAGGGTTTTATTTATATAAAAAGCGCAAGATAAAAGAGTAGAGAAAAAGCAAGATTCATCATTTTGAAAGGATTAGATGGATCATTTTCTTCAAGGATTTGATCCCATAACGTTGGGATCGTTCATCCACGTGCCAATCATGTTGAATTCAGTGAAATTCATCCTAAAAGAATTGGAAAATTGATGTTCTTGGGATATATTCTTGAATTCAAATGTTGTTATTGATTCGGATGAATTGAAAAGTTTATGAGATCCTTACATTGAGTTTTAGGGTTGATTTGAGTTAGTTTCTTGAGTATACATGCTGGGTATCGGGATATTTAACAAATGAGAAGAAAAATCGAGTTAGGCCGATTGGAGCTAGAAAACGAAGAAGGAAAAAGTCGAGTAAGGTTCATGAAACAAGTCCGTGTCGTGGACTTGTTCCACCAGTGAACAAAATTTTCCTCAACATGGTAGAGAGGACACAGACTCCTTTGTCTTAAAATTTAATTTTATGAATAATACTTTAGGAACATCTCCTTGTCGCCAACTTGTTCCATGACGGTGATTTCATAACTTTTCTCAAGTTTAGCTATTCAAAATCATTCCTAAACATCAAAAGACCTTTTTCTATCACAAATCAAAATCCTTGAATCCATAATTTAAATTCAAGGATAGTAAATAGTATATTCAAGTAAAGTTAAGTGTCAAGTCAAAGTGAAGTTCATCATAGTTTTCAAGGGTCTTCTACAAATAATTGAACTTTGTTTTAAGACTACAGATTCAAGTTAAGTAAATATTTGAGTTCATTTCTCAAAGGTTTATAAGCGAACTAACTATTCCCTAAGAGTTTGTAAATGTTTTCACTTTTAAACAAAAAAGGAAACTGAGTTATCCAAAAGAGCTATTGAGCTAGTGTTTCAGTAAAGAGGAAATTATGATTTCGACGAGAGCTTTTTAGCTAAGTTTGAATAATTATCTTAAGCCAGAGAAGAAGTCGTTTTGAACACCTATGAGCTAAGTATATGTTGGGAGTAATATTCGACACTGATATGGGATATGATTACATATAAACTAAATCCACCATAAATCATGTAGCCATCATGGGTAGAGAAGGGATCATACTTTTTAGATGATTCCTTGGTGTTTTTTTTTTAACATAGACTAGTGTCCACTTAGTAGTTCAGGATCTATACCGATGGCAAGTATAGGATGGTTTTTGGCGACGTATAGTGTTGTACCATCACTCAGGCCTATACTGATGGTTGTCGGCTAGAGAATCTCCCATATAAACTATTGTATTCTTATATAAATCAGTTTATTTGTATTTTTAAATACTTTTAAGGGTACGTTGTATCCCTTTCTATGCACAAAGTTGACATCATGTCTTTAAACAAGGTTTTCTTTATATTGCATCTGTTTTGAACTTCTTTATAATAAAATGAGTTTAGTTAAGTATTCATGAGTTGAGAAAATCAAGGTAAATATTTCTTTCAGAATCTCTTTCAATACTACGTTTGTTAGCATTTCAAATTGCATACTCGTACATTCAATGTATTAATGTCAATTGGTCTGCATCATATTATGATGCAGAAGTAGGTAGCTAGGATCAACATCCAGCACCTCGTTTATCCAGCTTGACCATTTAGAGTCTGTTGATGAGCCTTCTTGCATTTCGGAGGAATCTTTACTTCATTTCTAGTTTAGATCATTAGGATGTTGTGGGGGGTTTTCCCAACATCCATCTTAGTGATGTTAGAGGATTCATAGACACTCAGATGTTATTCCTTTGGGTCTTTGCATTATTATTTCCATTGTTAAGACTTGGGTTGCCATTTTTTTTCCAAGTTGAATGTTTATTCTTTAAAACATGCTCATATATTTTAATATTCAGTTCAATTAAATTCATTGATTATTATAGATATGAATATTCTATTTCGCTTAGTTTAGTAATCTAGGACAATGGTTCGCTTGGGGCCAAAAATGCTCTTCAAGAGCCAGCCATGTCCAGGGTGTAGACTGGGGGCGTCACAAACTTTGTATCAGAGCATAGAGTTCAAAAGTCATAGGTAGTCTATAAATACGTGTATGTAGAGTTCTAGCTATCAGTGTGAAGTGCGTCACATCTATAATTACGAGACTACAACATTCAGGAATTTCTTCATTTCTTTCATATTATTTTCGTTCATTAGAGTTTGATCTCTAAAAATCTGCTCTAATTGTACTTGCGTATGCTTTTAGATAACCATGCCTCTATAAACAACAGTCAGAGGTCGTCCAACGAGGAGAAATGCTGAACCTTAAAAGTAAGGGGTACCTATGCACCAAACATGCAACCTTAAGGAGAAGTCACCAATGTAGAATTATGTGTGGCTATCCAGATGTTGAGCCAAGCAGTAACTAACCAGGTCGAGCAACATAGAGGAGGTCGACAATAGGAGGTTGAAACTTAAAGGATTCATAAGTTCTTGAGGATGAATCCTCCGAGTTTCACTGGTTCGAGCACGAAAGAGGACCTAGAAACTTCATGGAGGAAAAGAAAAAGGGTTTTAGTGTGATGCATGTCGCTGATACTGTGAGAGTTAAGCTAGCTGCATATTAGATGAAGGGTGTTTCTAGAACGTGGTTTAATCAATGGAAAGTGGGTAGAGATGAGGATGCACCACCTTCATGTTGGGCCTGTTTTGAAGAAGCTTTCCTGGGGCATTTCTTTCCCCAAGAACTGAAAGAGGCCAAGGTATATTAGTTCCTCACACTGAAGAAGGATTCTTTAAGTGTGCATGAATATGGGTTGAAGTTCATACAATTATCTCTTTATGCTCCGAAAATTGTTAAGTACTTGAGGAGTAAAATGAGTTTGTTTGTTGTTGGGTTAGGTCCTTTACCAAGCAAAGAGGATCGGGCAACAATGCTTATTGGAGGCATGGACATTTCAAGTTTGATGGTCTATGTGAAGCAAGGAGAGGAAGAGAAGATGAAAGATGGAGAGGGGTTCAAGAACAAGAGGTCTAATATAGGGAATGAGTCCGGGCAGCAGAAGAATAATGTTAATCGGTCATCATTCCAACAGAAATAGAAGGGACTTTCACCATCATCTTCTAGTGTATATGCACCCATAAACAAAGGTGAGCATCATGGCTAGAATTTGCAGAACAATAGAGCTAGACCAACACACTCTCGAGGTAGTGTGGCAAAAGGAGGTATTTGGGCTCATATATGTTCTAGGTGTGATAGACACCACTCAGGTAAGTGTCGTGATGGACAGACAAACTGCTACAAGTGCGGTCAAGAGGGTCACTTCATGAAAGAGTGTCCTAAAAATAAGAAAGGTAGTGGAAATTTGGGCAATAGATCCCAATCTTCATTAGTTACTCAACCAGACAGTCCTTCACCTAGAGGAGCAACTTCTGGTACTGGCGGAGGAGCAAATCGCCTTGATGCAGTCACTAGTCGCCAAAACAAAGAGAACTCTCCAGATTTTATCAATGGTATGATCAAAGTCTTTGCTTTAGATGTTTATGATTTACTAGACCCATGAGCAAGTTTATCTTTTGTAACCCGTTATGTTAAAAATAAGCTTGAACCCTTCTGTATGTCTAAACCTGTTGGGGACTCGATTCTGGCTGAGCGAGTTTATCGTGATTGTGTCATTTCCATCAATAACAAAGACACCATAGCTGATCTAGTGGAGTTAGAAATGGTAGACTCCGATATCATTATAGGTATGGATTGGCTTCATGCATGTTATGTATCACTAGATTGTAGAACTTGAGTCGTCAAGTTTCGATTCCTTATGAGCCAGTCGTAGAGTGGAGTAGTCTTTCAGTAGTGCAAAAAGGTATTTTCATTTCGTACCTTAAGGCGAGAAAGTTAGTCTCAAAGGGTTTTATCTATCACTCATTCCAAGTTAATGACTCAAGTGTTAAGGTACCTCACATTTATTCAGTTCCTATAGTAAAAGAGTTTCCTGAAGTTTTTCCTGATGACCTACCTAGAGTCCCTCCGGAGAGAGAAATAGACTTCGGCATAGACATCATTCCAATCACTCGTCTTATCTCTATTCCACCATATTGAATGGAACCAACAAAGTTGAAAGAGTTCAAAGAACAGTTAAAAGATTTGTTTGATAAGGGCTTCATTCGATCAAGTGTCTCATCGGGCAGTCCGGTCTTGTTTATGAGAAAGAAACATGGTTACCTTAGGATGTGTATAGACTAACATCAGTTGAACAAGGTTGCCATCAATAATAAGTGTCCTCTTCTTAAAATTGATGATCTTTTTTATCAGCTTTAGGATGCTTCTTGTTTTCAAATGATTGACCTCAAATCAGGCTACCGTCAGTTGAAAGTAAGGGAGTGTGACATTCCCAAGACAAAATTCAGGACCTGGAGCGTTCATGGACCTTATGAACAAAGTATTTTAACCGTATTTAGATATGTTTGTTATCGTCTTCATTGGTGACATACTAATCTATTTGATTAATGAAGAGGATCATGCTAGGCATCTTACGATAGTCCTTCAAGCTTTGAAAGATAAGAAGTTATATGATAAGTTCTCAAAATGTGAGTTTTTGCTTGAGTCTGTGGCGTTGTTGGGCCACATAGTTGCCGGTGATGAATTAGAGTTGACACCCAAATGATAGAAGCAGTTCAAAGTTGTCCTAGACCCATATCTCCAGCTGATATTAGGAGTTTCATGGGTTTAGTTGGATATTATAGAAGGTTTGTAGAGGGTTTGTCGTCTATTTCATCTCCTTTGACGAAGTTGACTCAGAAGAAAGTTAAGTTTCAATGGTCTAAAGCTTGTGAGAAAAGGTTTTAGGAATTGTCAAAGAGGTTGACTACTGCCCCGGTTTTCACTTACTGAAAGGTACTCATGGTTTTGTGGTATATTATGATGCATATAAAGTTAATTTGGATTGTGTGTTAATGCAGAATTAGGTCATAGCCTATGCCTCTAGACAGTTGAAAGTTCATGACAAGAATTACCAAACCCATGACTTAGAGTTGGCTGATGTAGTATTCGCTATTAATATATGACGCATTGTTTATGTTGATGTATTCACTAATCATAAGAGTCTGCAGTATGTGTTCACTTAAGGTGGTGGTTAGAATTACTCAAGGATTATGACATGAGTATTCTTTACCACCCAAGTAGGGCAAATGTGGTTGCTGATGCTTTAAGCAAGTTTTCTATGGACAACATCGCCCATGTTGAGGAAGGAAAGAGAGAGTTAGCAAAATTTGCGCACAAACTTGTGTTGACACCCACTTTTTGACCCTCAATGATAGAAATTAACTTTTGAGTTTCTTAAATTCTAAATGACTTCAAATAACTAACTTTATAAAATTCAAAATATTTTTTTGAAGTTATTTTTAATAGTTCTTAACATTATTGTAATTTTTAGATAATATATATGTTTTGTATAATTTTCGGTATAACCAATATATTTTATAAATATTTTGAAAATCATCTAAAGAAAGATTTTAATTTTTAGTAAGTATTTTATTAAATTAGTTTACTTTTAGTTAAAATTATAATTTTGAATCATTAGTTTACAATTATGTAAATTATTTTATTTTGTTAAGATTAAGAAGCTCGTAAATTAGTTATATCAATTCGTCTTATTTAATAATTAGTTGAACTTATCCTACGACCGAGCTTGGCTACATCTTTAATTTCTAACTGGCTATAATTTAAATTCATATGGCCAAAGCCTAATTAAGTTATAACCAAGCCAGTTTTCTATCCTTAACAATCTTAAAACCAAAAGTTTTGAGACCTCTTGTTTAGCATTTCCAACAGCGCAAACCCACCAACTTCCAGTAACTCCTTTCCTAAATCATTCAGCCAAACACCTAAAAATTACCTGATCCAACCATAAACCTTGTTCAAAAAAGAACCAACTCTCTCCAAACGTTAACATCAGCAGGAAAAATGCTCACGACGTCTCCAACTGCGAGTAAATGACATCGATTTCAGCAGCAGCGAAGTCGAATTACATGAAGCAACTTAGAATTCTGAACAACGAAATACACGAAAAGCAGTCGCGCCAGTTGGCGTGCAACAATACATGTTTTTCCTTGACGTGTTCTTCCTTTCTCTCAACAAAAAATACTCCTATTACTGATCCAGCCTTGAGGTAGACCCATTTTCGTCTTTGTGTCTGCGAGATTGCTCCACCCGGACACTCGAGGACAATCGATCAATCGAGACACTCCATGTCATTCCAATCCATTGAAATTAGGAATCAATTTGTTATATTCCTCCTTGTGTGGATAGAATTTGAGTTGGAATTCAAATTTTTAGGCTTCTTTCTTACCTGATTTCTCATCTTTCTCTTCTATAAAAGAAATCCTAATTTCCTCCTATTAAATAGGATCTTCATCTATGCTCTTAAGCGAGGAAAAAGGATTTCAAATCTTAAGTCACATAAAATATACCCCTCAATTATTTTATTTTTCCCTTTGTTCATGGGTTGCTAGGATTCATAGGAATTCCTGAAGTTTGAAATCGGTAATGAAGTCCTCCATAGCTCGTTGCTCCATTCTCTTCCCGGAACGAGTTCTCATGGACTCTATTCTTGCGATATCATATTGGACTACGGAGATCCAATTCTATTATTCTAATCTTCTTATAACACCTCCAAAAATGAGTTAGGTATAACTAAGGCCTAATGTATGTGACATGAAGTCTTTAAGTCCTAAGATGGTTAAATATGTTGTTTGAGGCAGTGTCTCAAGATCTTTAATGAAGTTTGAAGTCAAACGTCAAGGGACTACCAAGACGTTTGACGACTAGTCACCTATGTTATTTATGTTTTTTCATGTGATTATATGTGTGTAATGAGTTTATGAGGTCCTAATATGATTTATAATAGTTTTTAGAGTCAGCATGCTAATTTTTGTAAGGTTTGTATTTCAAACGTCCAAGAACGTCCGGTGATGTTCGAAAGATAGTCATTGGACGTCCTTATGAGTTTAAATGTGTTTTATCATGTTGCATGACTTGTTTAATGTTGTACTTGTTTGGAGATATTCCTAGTACCTAGAAATATGTTTTTAGAGGACTAATGTCTGGGTACGACTTCACCTAGGACCCACAAGAGGCCCAAGAGGAGCATCCTTACTCAAGACTTGAAGCTGCATGGCAACTTGCATTCAGTGTCAAACGACGACCCAAACGACGACCAATCGATGGAACAATGGCTCGTCGACCTAGGTATTCGATGGAGCCTGCAAGTCTGTAGGTTTTGGACCTTTTAAACAAACCACGAGACACCCATCGACGGGGCATGGTCCTATCAATGGACCATTTTTGGCAGGGCGTGGTTTGGACCTATAGTGCCTGCAATTTTTGTATGAAGGCTTGCGAGTTTTAGGAAATTCACCCCAAGTCTTATAAAACTGTAGGATGATTATTTTAGGTGTTTATGGATATTTTAAAAGTATATAAGTCATCAAACTCTCATTTAAACTCTACCACCTAAATCAAAACTTACTCCCTCCTAAAGTTTCTCCATCAAACCTCCATGAGAGCTCAAGGTAAAGATGGATCTTCAATGGATTTTCGTATTCAATTATCATTGGGTTCTTCTAAAAAGGTATGCTATTTCTTCATCTAATGCTTTCTATAACCTTAGAGCCAATTTCAAAGATGATTTTCAAAGATTTCAAAAAGATGAAAAAGTCCAATTTCTACTCTATGTCTTGGGTTCTTGCATGAAACGTTTTCAAACCTTAAGATATGATATTGTTGATGTATAATTGATGTTTTCCAATGAAATTCTCAACGAACCCTTGACCTTCTCAAATCCCTAAATTTGACTAAACTATGGGTGAATTGATTGTGCTTTGATATAAATAAATTCATGTGTAGATTGTTATGGGCTTTTGATTTATGTAAAGATTATGAGGTATAGTTTATAGCTTGTTTCAATTTGATCACATGAGTATTGTATATTCTTAGATCCGTTGTATATTAAGCTTATCAAATTGATATTGACTTAAGGCTTACGAATTCTAGTATAGTTTTCAATGGGCTATTGAATGATGTAAGAATTTTATTCAATTGATGTCTAATTGGTCTTAGTTTGATAAATCTATATTTAATTCACCTAGAGTCATTGAGTATTGTAATTCATGTATTGAATTGATGTTCATGACTATGGGTAAGGGACTATTGGTATTGAATAAGATGATTTCGCTTTGGATTGAAGTGTTGAGAATGGATTGGTGGTATGCTTTCCTAATTATCTTTATTTTAAATAATTTAGCTCTTGAATTATTCTATGATTTGGTATGGTCCACTTACGGTGGCGGTGCTATGTGAATAATGCGGCCTTGTTGGATTTACTTTATGTATCATGATGATCATGGTCTTGTTAGCACTAGTTAAAGTATTATGATGATTTGGGTAGTGATTTATGCAAATTATGATCATATCTACCTACATATTAGTAATGTGAAAGTATGTGTCCTTATATTGATGTTGTTAGGTGATCATGTTATACTATGATTATGTCTTCACGTGTGTAGT